TGCGTTTGCGATGATGGATTCACCAGTGAAGACTGCTCAGAGAACGCCTGTCCAGGAAACTGCAACAACAGGGGGCGCTGCGTTAACGGACAGTGCGTTTGCGATGATGGATTCACCGGTGAAGACTGCTCTAAAAAAGCTTGTCCCAACAACTGCAGCAACCGTGGGAAGTGTGTGAATGGGAAGTGTGTTTGTGACGTGGGCTTCGCCGGGCCAGACTGCGCCACCAAAGGCTGTCCGAATAACTGCAACAACAAAGGACGGTGCGTCAAAGGGAGGTGCGTCTGCCGGCGTGGATTCACTGGACCAGACTGCAGCCAGTGTGAGGAGGGGATGACGGGACCCAATTGTGATATCGGTGAGTCAAACCCCTTTATTATCCTTAATCCTTAATTAAAACTGGTCTTCAAAGGAGACCTGAATCATGTAAATCATGGCTGAGCCAATGTTGAAATACCAATTCTGAATCTTCTCAATCTGACTGTAAACCAAAATGTCACAAGTGACAAATTACTAAATTAAGTTAAAAATGCCTTTCTATCAAGAATGTAGTCTTTATACAGTTTATTACTATTACGGGAACTATTAGCCATCTTCCCATCTGAATAAAAAACAGTAGGTTAATGCATTTGATAATATTCTGCCCTGCAGTACATTTAATCAGTAATTCATCAGTTGTAGTTCGTATTCATCTGAAGCTTAATTTCTAGTCCAAAGTTTATAACACTGTTGTAAAACAAGTTTTATGGTGCATCTATACAAAAACATGACAAACAAACAAATGTATCTGCTAACACCACTGACTTGTGGTGTACCACAAGGTTCTATTCTTGGTCCCTTTCTGTCTGCCTTAAATATGATTCAGTTTGGGAAGACAAGTGGTTTTGCGGTGTAATGTATCACTTCTATGCAAATGATATGCAATTATAAATCTCATTTAAGCCCCAAAATGTCCAACAATTCTACATAACTGCCTCAAAACCATAGAAAGTTAGATAATGTCATATAATCTAATATGACAATTCGCTCATTACCTTTGTCCTCAAGGTCAAGGAAAGCGTTCTTCATCTGTTAATTTACCTTCTAATTTGACCAGCATGTGGCATGTATATTCCTCCCTATTTTTCCCAGTTTACATGAATTAATTGCATCCCATCTAGACTTTGGTAACTCTCTTTTCATTTGCCTTAATAAGACATCGTAGATTTGCTTACATGCAGCCCAGAAAGCTGTTAGAAACTGTTTTACTAGGTCTTTTTCCTGGTTTCCTTTAGTCCCAATTCAAGATTCATGTGATCTCTTTTAGAGCCTTGTGTGCTCAGGCACCCACCTACATCTACAAGCTTCCTGGTTGTACCTTGTTCTTCTTGGTTGTACTTTGATCCAGTCCTAAAACTAAATGTGATTGTGACCTCAGAGCAAGCTTTTAAACTTTTAATCTCGGTCCTCTTAAATTTAGGAAAGAGATCTCAATTCCAAGATCCTGTTAACACATTTAAAATGTTACTCAGTTACTCTTGTTCAGCCTTTGTTTTTTAGATTCTTATATTGTCTCTTTTTTTATATCTGTTGCTTTTACTTTTCATTGCAACCACTTAGTGGCTGTAGTGCTATACAACTTATTTTTCTGCTGTTTACTTACCTATTTTTTTTTTACTTACTAACATCTGCTGCATCATTACAGGTTGCAGGGGAACTATCTTTTTGGAGCAAAAAAATTTGCAAAAACCTCATAAAATCACACATTTCCTCAACAGTGGCCATGTTTAAATATCCCTCTCCACCATCACTTTGGCTTTGTTTTTCCCCATGTGGGTTAGTGGTTTATACCATTAGGGAGAAAACTTTACATGTTTGGTATGTAAGCAGAGCTTGCACATCCCAGATGCTTTGCTGTAGTGTAATATCTTTTCACATAATAACTTAATGGGTCTCACACATGAGAGCAGTCAGTTTGTCATTTCTGGGAAGATGTAGTTGATAAATGTTTTACAGACTTTGGGAATGTTTTGCTTTGACACTGAACTGTTGGGTCAGTCACGATTCATTCAACACCTGCTTTCCATCAATGATCTGATCTTTTCATCCCTGACAGACACATTTCAATTTCTACTGACTAGGTAATTTGGTGCATTATTATTTGCAGTGACTTGTGTTGTTGTTTTTGTTGTTGGCACTGCTGTTGCCAGGCTACATTAGCATATTAGCTTGTCTGTTTGGAGCTGCAGTGATTTGAGTGACGGAACTGTTTCATTAACGGAGCAGCGGGATCCAGAAGTGCTGCCCATAAAACTCCCTCAGACTGCTGCGTAATGGCTGAAACAGGACAAACACGTGTGTGAGTGTTAAGTGTTTTACCAAATGTAACCAACCTCTGAAGGAAGGGAAGTCCCACAATCTCAAGCCCCATATGAGAGGGAGAGAGAGATTCCATCCACCTGTTTTTATGCACATATTCCCCATAATTTGTGAAAATGTTGCTATTGTTTATAAAGATACCTGAATGGAGACCCCAGAAATTCAAACAAATGTTGCAAATGTTTTGTGGCATATTGAAAAAAGTGAAGATAAGATAAAGATTGATGGAAACCACTTCAGCTCCTCTTCCTCTTCTTTTTGTTTTATGTCCTGAGTATTCTGTAGATCCAGAAGCATACCCACAGTTACAGACCTCCAGTCAAGAGCCTAGCCAGGATTGTAGACACTGGGACATCGTCAAGTCCAAGGTCCCCCAAAGCACCTCGATCCTCCTCAGAAAACTCTGGCATTTTATTTATTAACTGATTAACTGATTAGTTATCTATTTATATATATTTTATTGGCTTTAAAAGTTGAGTAATTTAAAGCCATACTAGGAACGTATAGACTCTTTCTAATAATCTCGCTCATTGCCAGGGTTGATTAGCCTCAACCATCACTCTCAGAACAGACTGGATCTTCCATTTGTGAGTTGACTGGTAGGTGTGAGTGCTACAATAATAGACCTGCATATTCATACATAAAAATGTATGTAATGTTGTTATGATCCCCATCCGCTCCCCTTTTGTCCCGTTATGTAATAAATGAGCCTTAAAGCAAAGTGTGCAGCTCTCTGCACCTCCTGCAGGATTGTGCGGAGGTGGTTTAGAACATATAACTGCTGTGAAACTATCAGAAAATGACGTTCTGTTTCTCTGATTTATTAATTTCACTCTGTGTCCTCATTCACAACAACGTGTCCTTGATTTTGTTGCTGAAGAAGAGTTGCTGCTGCTGTGTTGATTTATTCTTGTTTAACCATCTTTAGAATCCGCCTATAAAAGCAGCTGGTGGAAGAAAAATGTGATTTGCAGTTTCTTGCATTTTCTCTTGGAATTTGCATAAAATGTGTTTTATGTTTCTAAATGCATGTGTGAGCGTGTTTGGTAGCCAGCCACATAAATGCCCCTTTGTTTCTCAGTTCAGTGTGTGTGTGGAGCGCACGTTGGACTTCAGTAATTGGTTACCAGAAACATTACGTCAGATGCTCAGTGACCCACTGCGCAGTGAATTTTTCAGCACTAATTTTATGAGAAACTCGTGCAGTAAAACAAATCTGAGAGTTATTATCGAGTACGCCTTCAGTGTGCGCTTCGTGTTGGCAGCTTCAGAGTGCCACATGTGTCAGCTTGCGCTTTATTGAACGGCTGTTTATGTAAAAGATATATATATATATA